CTGTGCACGTGCAGGATGCAGGTGAGAACTGCTGGTGACTGTCTGGGGCCGTGGCCCTGGCATCCCCTGCATCTTCTGTTCGACCAAGATGAGAAGACCAAGGAGTGAGTGGGACTGGGGCAAGTCTGTGGTGCTGGTACTTTCCCAATCAGCTCAAGGGTTTATAAGATACTATAAAATCTCCACCAGGGAGGACTGTGATATTTTTGGGGTTTTTAGGATGAAGGACAAATTGATAATTTGACTCTATGTTTTTAGAAGGTTATTATTCTATTCTATTCTATTCTATTCTAGAATGTTATACTAAAATTATATTAAAGAATAGACAAAGGATACCTACAGAAGGCTATAAAGAATGATTATGAAAATTTGTGATTGTTTTTAGAGTTTTGATGCAGTTGGATGATGATTGGTCATTAAGTTAAAACAATTTACATGAAACCAATTAAACAACTGCTTGTTGGATAAATAATTAGATAATTATTATTTTCAATTTTTTCTGAAGCTTCTCAGCTTCCCAAAAAAAATCCTAAACAAAAAAAAATTTCCAAAAAATATAACAATAACCGAGGACTATCACTCCTTAAACTCCTGGGGGAATAAAGCTGAAACATGCCCCATTAGAACTTTCTTCTGTTCTAACACTGTTATTTTTCCCAGAGCTCCACCTCCTGCTTTGACATGGAATAATGAGCATCTGGTGTTCTATGTTTCTGAGGAAGTTTGCATGCCCTGATTAGAGAGAAACCATGAAATGTGACCACCCTGTGTCTCTTTCCAGGCTCCACGCTGCAGTCTGTCATCTGCTCCAATGATGCCCTCTTCTACTTTGTGTTCTTCTACCCCTTCCCCATCTTTGGCATCTTGATCATCACCATCCTCCTGGTGCGGTTCAAGAGCCGAAACTCCAGCAAGAACTCAGAGGGCAAGAATGGGGTTCCCTTGCTGTGGATCAAAGAGCCTCACCTCAACTACTCTCCCACTTGCCTAGAGCCACCAGTCCTCAGCATCCACCCGGGAACCATGGACTAAAGAGGCAGAGACACCTGTAGGGATGCACAGAGGGAGAGAAGTGGAGATACGCCGGGAGCCCTGAGGAGCACAGTGGGGTTTGTTGTTCTTGTTTCATTTGTTTCAGTCTCTGTGCTCCGACACAGTGGCTGAGCTCTGCCCAGCCACCAGGAGCAGGAAGGTCCAAGGCTTCTTCCAGCGCCTGTGGGAACATACCCCCCCACCCCAATGGACAGAGGCACTTGCTGTACATAGCAGATGTTCCTCTCGGACTAATTTGACTCACATCAGTTCCTCTCTTTTGGACTGTTGCTTTTTTATCATTTATTTTTTGGTCACTCAAAGAACTGTAGACTTTACCTGCCCTCCACACAGTGTGGAGTTCCCAGGGGGTATTTGGTCCTAGGATGATCTCTTTGGAAGTAAACGTATATGTTTTCCAAAACAGACTGTTTTTCCTTCTCAAACTCAGTGCCACAGTGAAGATCTTTTCCCAAGGTGCACTGAGCTAACTCCTCCCTCTTCCAAAACAGACAAAGCCAGGTCTGTCCCCAGAGGGGTTAACTGGGCTGTCTGTCAAGAGGTCCATTTCAAAGACTGGCTGTAGCCTCAGCATCTTCTTGCCTCCACCTTACTCTTTTTCTCAGGAGGGAGCAATTAACTTTTTGGGAGTGTTCCCAGGTCTTGGAGAGACTGAATATTGAGCGTGCTTGCGGTCAGGACAAAAGCAGTTGATTTTGTCTCACGGAACGGAAGGGGGGAAAGGAAGGACACCTGAATGCCCTGACTGTGTTGTAGCAAAGAGGGTCCTTGTGTGGCCTCACCAGAGTCATGCTCCTCCCTGGTGTCCATGCTGCCACCTCAGATGAGGCAGATCTCCTCTGTGCCCCAGTCATTTGGGAATGGGAGGCTTAATCCAGTCTCTGAAGGCTTCAACATGACCAAAGTAAAGACTCTCGGAAGGAGGAAAGGAGAAGCTCCACGGGTCACCTTCACAGTCCCTGGATGGTTCAGCCAAGGAGCCCAGTAGCAAACATGCCACGTAGTGCAGTTAACCACCATGTGTCACGAGTTTTCCTGTGGCTGCACTGCTCCCCAGGGTGAACCTGGACAAAGCAAGGGGCCTGCAGCCCATCAGCACCCTGTGATGTGAAGAGAAATCTTCCCCCTGTGTGTATGTGCATCTGCCATTTGTTTCTGGGACTTTAGGAAGAGAATCCATTTCTCCATAAGCTCCCCCTCCTGGCAATGTCACCTGCTCTTGTAAAAGTCGCTGTGGCAGGAAATGCTGTTCTTTCTGTGAAAGATATGCTCTTGTGAACCAAACCAGGGCTCTGGCCACGTGGGGCACCTGCCCCCCTGCACCCCTAATGCCAAGAACCCCTGCCCTGTCCTGTGGAGGAACCGCCTCCTCCCCTGTAAGCGTTCCGTCTGGCGGAAGAAAATGTTTGCCAAAAATGGCCTTTTGTTGTCTTCCTTGATGTCTTCCTGGCAAATCCGGCCATTTCTTTTTTTGCAGCATGGCTGAAGCCAAGCGGGGGCGGACGGGTGCAGCCACAAGAGCCCCCTGCCTCACATGTGAGAGGTGCCATACCCACAGCCCTTGTCCTCTCCGGAGGGTCGGACTGCTCTTTGGGAGCAGAGGGGACCTCAGCAGATGCTCTGTAGCACTAAGTCAGTAAGACCCTGATGCCTTGACATTTCGGAGGTGGTGAAGCTTCAGGTGGGAGATCTGCACTGTGAAGCCTTGCTCCTGTCTAGGAGAGGACCCACGTGGCTGCAGATCATCCTGTGCTAAGGTGTTTGAAGTTGGCCACCTCTGTACCTCCACCAGAACAGGACTGGTTTCTTCTGCTGCTGGGAAGCCCCAGTTTCACTCGCCCTCTGTGAAGTCTGCCTCCTGGAGAAGTAACTGCTTCCTGGCCCCAGCATATGCATAGAATCACATTCCTATATCTGTACGTATCACACACCCGCACACTTGTCTTCCCTTTCTGGCTAAGACGTCTGCAAAGAGAGGAGTGGGATGAGAAGTGAATGGAAATGAAGAATTGAGGTGCAAGCAGCTGCAGCTGCAAGCCAGTGGCTTTTGTTTCCTGACTCTTCTATCTCCTGTATGTACTGCTCCTGAGCAGGAACCACGACTCACTTCAGCTTTAAGGAAGAAGAGAGAATGAAGTCAGCAGGAGCCGTTCTGTCCTGGGAGAGCTCTGCTCTGCACCTGAGCCACGCTCCTCCTCGCCAGCCTGTCTGCCCCAGAGCAGGGCTCTCCTGGAGGCCTGCCACACAGCCCAGCCTTTCCTGGCAAGTGGCTCCCACAGTGGTCCCTGAATGTACCTTGCTGGTGACATTTCTCCATTGCTCTGGCAGTGTGTTGCCCAGTCTCAAACTTCTCTCAGTTTTTATAAGGCAGCCTCTTCCTGTAATGACTTTTGACACAAAGCTTTTCAAAGCACTCTCTCTGCAGTAACTGTCTGTAATGAACCCAAGAAGAAAGAGAGAGATCCTATCCATGCATGATGTGGAAAAATGTTTGGGATTTTTAAAAAAAGAAAAAAGTGAAAAAAAACCCAACAAAAACTTTGTACTATGTTGCACTAAAACATGTTTTATACAACACACCCAAGAGCTGTAGTAAACTGTGTTGAAATTGTGAATCCTATTGCTGCTGGTTTTTGTCAGTTCTGGGCTTTTATTATGCCTTTATGTACACTCAGAACATAAAGGTGTGCTGAGGCCCTGCTCCTGGGAACCCTCTCCCTCTGCTCCTACTCCTTGATGCAATAACTTCTCTCCCTACCACTGGTAGCACATCTCCTCTCTGTTGCAGCTGGAGCTTGCAGACACCTGGCACCTCTGATTTCATACCCCATCCAACCCTTAGCCCGTGCCATAATAGAATAGAATATTTAACAGAGGTCTGTCAGGACTTTTTATTGAACACACTGGTTTTGAAATTGTTCTGAAAACAGTATAAGTACTTTGCTGTGTCATAGTCTGGATTTGAAGAAAAACCTTATTTTCATAGAATTATGCATAGTAAATGTTAAGCAAATTACTTTCAGTAACCTTGATGAAAGCAGAATATAGTTCACTACAGAAGCTGATGTACAATGCAACCTGTTTAATTCTCCTTACCCACTTTGCCTTAAGTAAGGATTTGGTCAGGAGTCCTGAATTCTCCCATATTCACTGAAATAGGCAAGTAGCATGATGCATTGTACATGTATTGCAGGAGTGGTGTAGAATTGGGTTTAAGGTTGGGTTTGGGGGTTTTTTCCACATTCATTTGAAACAAAAAACATCCTCTGCTAAAATAATTTTATAAGAAAGCTCTGTTGCCCCCAGACACAATTGGCTGCTTTTGCCCAGTGCTGGTTTGGGGGGTTTGAGTGGGGTTTGCTGCCTGTCCTGCTGCTGCAGCAGGCCCAGCAGTGCTGCTGTGGGTGCTCCTGCTCCCCTTGAGGAGCACACGATGTGCAGCCACCCTGCAGCACAGGAGGGATGTCTGGGGCACCACTGTGTGTTCCCATCAAAGCACCAGCCCCAAACTAGCACCGATGTGGCCTCCCCAATGAAGCCAGCACACCAATTAGTATGAATCCTAGGATGTCTTAAATAGTATAGTATGGGTGGAAGGGGATCTTGTCACAGTCTGAGGGGATGCCTAGTGGGTTATTTGAGCCTGTTTCATGGAGGAAGGTGAGATGGACGAGTGTGGGGCCTACGATGACGAATGAGAGGAGGAAATGAAGGGCAAAGAATCGAGTTAATGTGGGGTTATCGACAGAGAACCCACCTCAGGCTCATTTGACTGGTGTTTGTCCAATGTAGGGGATAGCTGAGAATAGGTTTGTGATTACAGTAGCCCCTCAGAATGACATTTGACCTCTTGGTAGAGAAAAGGCAGGTCTGGCTCTGGCTTACTTTCTCAAGATTTAATCTGGCAGCTTTGCAAACCAAGCGAGAGAGCACAGGTAAGCGTGTCTGTGGTGTGGTTGCCATCTCCTGCCTACAGTATGCTATACAAGTCCTTGGCCACCTTCTCCAGGCGCTCCTTGTACTCCAGGTGGGCGTAGAGGTTGGGGGGAACGCCCTTGAAGGCGTGGATGACGCCCCACCAGCTGGCGGCGATGGCAGCCGTGGAGTCGCTGTCCCCGCCGTGGAAGAAGGCGCGGTGAGCCAGCTCCGTCCAGGAGTCCCCCGCGCCCAGCAGGGCGTCGTAGGCGATCATGGGCGCGTCGTGCCCGCTGCTGCCGCCCCAGCCGCTGTAGCTGAGCGAGGTGTAGAACGAGTCTCTCTCTTCCACGCCGTACTTGGCCGGGAATTTGGGTGATGAGACGCCATCCGAGATGCCTCTCTCCTCCAGGTATTTTTTCCACTTCTCTTCAAAGTAGTACCTGCCAAACGGGAGGGGATGGAGCGGCTGTAAGTTGTCCCAGGGCAGCGGCATGCAGCTGAGCATCACGCAGGCGCCGGCGGAAAACGCACCGCGTCACCAGCCCGGAGCAAGGGCTCGGCAAAATGGCAGGTGGCCCCCATTTGTCAAAACTAGGGGCATGATTTACGGTAAGAGGCACAAGGACAAGTTTCAGTGAGTTAGATTTCCCCTCCCTCCAGTCACATGGGAGAAGGCAGCCCAGCACCTGCAGGATTCAAAGGCTCAGAGTGAGAACTGAGTCATCCTCCCAAATTCAGAGCAGCTCTACCTCTGTGTGTGCCCCTGCACACAGAGGTGCAGTGAATATGCAGATTTGGTTATAACTTTCAAAGTGAGCTCAGCCCTAAGCTTGATGCTGTTCCCCAGCCCTGCTTGCCATCTTTCATAAGGTCACAGTTGCATGAGATGACAAGTCTACCTACTTCATACTGGATCCAAAAAATGGTCACTAGCACCTGACCCAAACACAATCTGCCTTTTTTTTTCCCCCCCAAGGTAAGGTACTCTGAATTGATTTGATACTGTGCCAGGTGTGGGCCCCCCTAGGAGTCTGCCGTAATGTGATTACTGAAACCTAAGTATGAGCAGAGCTCGCCCTGTGGTACAAGGGCTTTAAGAAATGGCAGTGCAGGGAACGCAGCTCACCATTGCTCCATGTTCTCCTTCGCGTAGAAGCCGGATTCCTGCACGTAGGCTTTTGCCCGTGGCAGCACCTCCAGGAGCCCCTTCCCCCAGGCCACGGGGGGCACGCCGTTCACCGCGTAAGCCGTGAAGAGGGCTGAGGCCAGGGCCCCCAGGTAGCCGGTGGGGTGGTGGTGGGTCATGCGGCCGCTCTCGATGCTGACTCGGATCAGCGTGTCCAGCTGGGCGGGCCGGTAGAAGCGCAGCCCGATGCACATGGCGCGCATGGCGGCCCCGCAGCCCCCCGCCCGCGGGCTGAACGGGATCCGCCAGCCGTTGGGCTGCCCCGGAGCCAGCTTCCTGGTGCTTTCCACAGACATGGCACCTGGAGACAGCCACAGAGGGAAGGGAGAAACACAAACATCAGCAGGAGGCAGCTTGGGAACGGGGAAGACAGGCAGGGCACTGGGGAAGAAAGCATCGGTCTGTGTAAGGGATTTGAGCTTCCTTTTAAAACCGTAAGTTGTCTGCTTACGTGCATATCCTGCCTTAAACTGCTGGAGCAACCTACGTCCTCCCCAGCAGACCTGATAATTTTTGTTTATGAAAGCAATTAAAAGGTCTAGGGGGTAGGAAACACCTCATTGCTCATTTCCTGACATGGTTTATATTTACATTTTGTGTTATCCAAAAAAGCCATATATACTAATAGATATATACGCACATACCTAGATATCTCTCTTTCTCTGTAAACAGAAAGGTTTGTAGGATCTCTGACACAAGGCCAGTCTAGGTAACTGTTTTTTCACAGGACTTGGAAAGGCAGAGACCCCACAAGCTCCTCATTTGCCTCACTAATAGAAAATGTACTGGTAGAAAATGTTTTCCATCTCTCCCTTGCTGCAGTTTAAGTTTGACAGGAAGCCTTGAGTGTAGCACCTGTCTCACCTCAACACAGTCTGCATGACTGGCTCTACTGTACTCCTCTTTCAAAAGCTTAGGAGCAGCTGTATTAGGTGGGACCAAAGGTTTATCCAGCTCACTAGTTCATCTCCAAACACTGCCACTAAAGGAGAACTACAGAAAGACTATAAGAAATGTGGCAAGCCCACCTCCATCTCCTTCAGATTTCTATTTACTTTTTAAAGAAATTACTCTGTTTCTTCTAGTGCTGCTTCTTCAGACTAACACTTGTTAGTCCAACACATTCATAGGACAAAGAAAACACACCCAAATTTCAAAGCCCAGCCAGTTTCCCCAGCCAAGACAGTGAAATGTTTTGAGAGCCAAGCCCAAATGCTTGTGTGTAAAGAAGAAATAGGTTTGGAACACTGAATTATCTTGATTCTCTTCTACCTTGCTTTTTTTCCTCCTAGTCTTCTCTTCTGGCCCAACTGTAAATACTTCTTTTCCAGCAGGAAGGTAAATCAAGGCAGGTTTTGAGCAGCTTCATTTAAGTTTTAATATGCTGGACAGTGGCAAAGGTGAGCTCAACAGAGTAACCCCAGTGTGCTGAGTCCTCTCTCAGACACACAGGATAGCAGCAGCAGCTGGCTGTTATCACACCCCCAAAACTAGACTTTGTTCCCTCACTGGGATGGGTAGCTGATCAACTGGCAGGTGCTCTGTTACTTTGGAAGTCAAACTAAATAGAATAGAGTAGCAAGGAAGAAGCCTGGTCAAGCAAATTCACCTCACTTTGGTGCAACTCAGTCACCATGATCTGTGACCTTGCTCATCACAGCCAGGTACTGCACTGAGTCCCCTGCAGGGCTCTTGGCTTCTGCACTTCCATGTACATGTTTGGCAGTAGGGTTTAGTCTATGGCAGCCTGTTTTACCTGCATTTACAGCCCCTCTGTAACTGAAATATCTCCAAATCCAAGCACAGCTTTAAGACTGGCTTCTGGACATGTGCTAAAAATAACTAAGGGTGGTCACTGTCAGGAATAATGTCATGTGCTGGGCCAAGTGTCTTTAGCTATACTGGGACCAGTCACAACCAGCCTCTAACTGTAGTGTCTGTGAGTTTGCTTTTAGGATGTCTCAGTGTGGGAACATGTCCAGGCCTCTAAATTTCATGTACTTTACTAATTCAGTGCTGGCTGCTGTGTATCAAAATTGTTAAGAGGGATAGCAGCATAATTTCCAACTTCATGATGACTAACAGAAAATTGAGGCATTTTTCTAAAAATCTCACCTTACCAAGCATTGAACCCAGTGACCTGTAACAGGACATTAAAATGAACCTGTCAAACAAAGCCACATTTTTAAAAAGCTGTGCCAACTACTCTATTTGTCAATTCTGGTAAAAGAGAACTTCTTCCAGGAAAGCAAGGGGGAAGGGACAGAGCACAGGGACTAAGGAAGTTTAAAATCAAAATCTGCATAACAAAAGCAAAGATTACTCTTGCTGAAACTTTGAGAAAATCATTTCTTCAAGATCTGTCTGGGCAGGCTGAGACCACACACCTCAGTGCTTGATAAAAAGTGAGATTGTTCTTGCACTAATTGTAGCTAAAATAAAAGGGAAGATGATGAGGCTTTAAATGGAAAGAAAGACTGGTTATTTTGCAATACAATTTGCTTGCAGCTTTATGCCTGTGCATATTATTTTAGGAAATGACTACTGATAACTTGCAAGTGGAAAAAATTGTGTAAACCAGTGTATGACAACGTGTATACCAAACCAGTGTAAGAGAGCTAAGACTTACAATTTATGAAGTATTACAAGTAGTATCCCTCACACTTTTAAACAGTTAAAATATTAAAACATTGGAAGGCCAATTTAGGAAGACTTCAGAAGGAATCACATCAGGTCTCTTTTTTTAAAAAACAGGTTTTAAAAAAACTGCTGTGGGGAGTTTTTGAATTAGCAAATTGTTTTGGAAATCCTTTACATCCAGGTTAGAAATCCTTTGCACTAACAAGAGGAAATTAAAAGTAACCTAAGCATGGTACTGGTCTAAGGAAAAAAGAAATACAAGGAAAAAGTAGTGTGTGAATTAGGGCAACCTGAAGAAGTTTCAAGAACAGCTGGACTCAATTTTTGGGATAGGACCAAGACTCTTCAGGTAACAGTTGTTTGGGATTGATCAGTACACATAAAAAAAGGTGAGTTAAACAAACCACACAGTGGTAAATGATTCCAAAGGGAGAGGACTAGGACCAGTTTTGAAGCAGGAGGTTTCCTGAAGAAGTGCTTTAGTTGTACCATGAAAAAAAGAAGTATGTCTGTGCTTGTGTTGCTTAATTCACTGGCTTTGTCATCTGCAAGGAACAATGAATGTGGGGCTGTGGCACATCACAAATAGCAGCAGTGGGTGTAGGGATTACCTTGTCGTTGAATCACTACCCCAGAGTTCTCTCCTGGGGCTGTGTCCCTGAGGGACCCTGCTGTGGCTGTCCTGTGACTCAGAACGTTGTGGGAATCCCTTTGTTACCGCAGCTTTGGGTTTTCAGGTCTGGACTGCCTCATGTGAGCCAACAGTGTGACTTTCCCCCACTGTTCTAAGGAAATCTGTGTTGGGCAAAAGTTCCAACAGCAACTTTCCATTCCCAGCCTTCAGGGCTGCAATTCCCTGGTGAGTACTTAGGCCAGAAGAGCACCGCCCTGGGTTATGTTCTCAGTTAAAATCCATTTATTCTCAACTGCCAAAAGAAGTTATTGGCATGCAGCTTTTATCATTAGGACTTATCAATATGCCATGGAGAATCCAGACAGCTTTTCAGGGTATGGATTAGGTATTCCCTTCAGTGGGAATTAAACTGCCAAGGGTCAGGATTTAACTCTCAGAGCTGAATGCCTTTCATACCTGCAGCAGAAGCAATTCTGATTGCAAAATTTTTAATTGTCTTTGGACCCACTAAACAATGTGTACTTCTTTTTTTACCTAGATAATCTGACCTGACCTTGTCATTCCTCTTAATGTCCATAGCAAGTTTGCTTTCAAATCATCACTTCCAGGAAAAGGAATTCTTTTGGGCATATTGCAGCTCAGTTTAGTCACAGAAGGAATGCAGTAGGTGTGATATTATTTACTAATATTTAAATTTTAGGTTCTTCTCCTTTTCATCTTAGATCCTTCCAGGTGCTGTCTCACTGGCAGCTGTGGTTAATCCATCTTGCTGGGGGAACTAAACCATGCTGCTTCACCAAAACTGCCATGAATCTCTTGGAAGTTTCATCTGCCACCTTCAGCTGTCCTGACAAGCATCATTACCTCTTCCTAAATATTTTATTAATTAGGCCACTCGAGCAACTGGGAATATGGGTGTTAAAAGAAGACTGATAATTTAGTTCTTTCCACAAGGACAGGAGCCCACTGTGGAAAGGTAAGCAGAATAAATTCCTGTTCAGGTTTCCAACCTGGTTTATTTTGGAAATGCACAGCTCCCATACACTATGCTCAGTGGCAAGATTTGGCCTTTCCCATGTTTAATGTCAAGACAGAACACTCTTGACTTACTCTGGCCACTCCAAATAAGCACATCTCAGCATACATACAATTTCAATGTATAAAATTTGCACAGGACTGCTGAATTTGAGTGTTTCCTGGATACTTCATGCCTCCTGTGCTGGTCAAGTTAGAGGCCCAGCCTAAGCAGCTCCAATGTAAATGTAATCCAAGCATCCAGAAGAGCCTGGGCCACCAGCACAGAGACAGATAGAATCCTCAGGGAAGAGCTGGGTCAGGAGGGCAGGAACTACAGGGATATGTTGTACATGTCTTGGCTACTGTAGCCTGTCAAGGTGCCCTTCCTGAATACTGCCAGGCCCACTGCTTGTGACACAAACTCAGCACCAATGTGTCTATGCAGAGAAGAGAGGATGGAAGTACAGGGTTCAGAAAAGAACACTGGCCTCACTGTCCTGGTGCACAAATCAGGCATGCAGAGCTAGCCACAAGCAGTCTTTGGGTTTAGTAAGTGTAATTATTCCAAGCAAGGATCTTTATGCCCTTAAATATATTTTACATGTCATTTGTTGTGTTTATGATGAGAAGTTCTGTATTAGTTCTGTAGGGTGCATCTCAGGGTGTGCATTACAGTAGCTGAATGTGAATTTTTTAGCCACTGAATGTAGGAATTCCAAGTTCAAAAGCTATCACCCTTCTCGAGGTCAAGCTCAAACACACCCATGTTTTGTAAATGTGAACAAAACATCTTTTTCATCTAGTTCAGAGAAGCCCAAACCACTTCAGCTTGCCTTATTCTGTTCTCTTTAGCTCATCCTGAAACAGGTACTGAGTGTGGAACACTTTTCCTTTACGTGAAATACAGTAAACAGCCCAAAGCAGAGCCGGGGCCAGCCCCAGCTCCGAGCTGCAGGAGAGACATGAGCAACAACAGCACAGCTCTACCCTGACAGCAGGATGGAGGGGTTACCTGGAGCTCTGCCCTCCATGTCATTCATGCACTCCTTGTAGTTCCTTGCAAGCAGAGTGTAGAGATGTGGTAACGTTGGGTTTTTCCCAGCTGCCACCAGAGCTTCAGCCGTGGCCAAGTGCATCACGGTGTCATCGCTGACGATCCAGCCCTGGAGGCTGATGTTGGCCAGCCCCCCCATGTCTGCCAGCTCCTTGTGGATGACTGGTCCACTCTTCTGGAACTCCCATCTCCCGTTGTAATATGCCACTGTGTCACCAACTGCACTCAGCACCATGGATGCCACATAGTTTTCCACTCCTTTAGGACACATTTTTTGTCCCACAGCTACCCCAGTGTAGAAGACACTATGAGAAAGAAAAAAAAGGAGAAGGAGAATTAAATCTTTCCCAGTTCAGTATGGGCTTGTCCTGCTAAGCTCCAGCAGGCTGGATACCCTGTCTGTCACACGAGTCTCACTCAGAGGATGTATTTCTTCACAGCACAGGGACCCTGTGCACCTACCATGGGTGGGTGTGTGGCAGCTCCTGGAGATGCTGGGATGCTGACAGGATAAAGCTGCATATCCTACCCAGCTCAAAGGCCAAAAACCCAGGGCAGGGCTGCAGGATATGTGACCACAACCATGTTCTCCACCTTTCTGAGTGCCTGAGCAAGCTCACATCAGCACCCAGCGGCTCCTGTACCCTGGGGTAAGGCGAGGCTGACCCTCGGGGGTACAGAAGCGAGGGGTGAAGTTTGGCAGGGCCATGCTATGGCAGTGACACCTGTCCCTGCTCCTCGGGCAGGCTACAACAGCGGCTGCTCACACAGGCAGCGCCCCCACCCCGCAGGTACTTCAGCCATGAAATGCCAACCACGCCCTCCCCCAGAAACCCTCCGCAGCTCAGGCCTCGCTTCTCCTTTTCGCTGCTCAGAAGCAGAAGCGGCGAACGCCAGCGGCCCCGCCTCAGCCGGGCCCCGGGCCGCTCCCGACCCGCGGCTACTCACACAGCGAGCCCGCCGATCGCCGCCAGCCCGGCCAGCATTCCCGCCGCTCCCAGCACGCTCCGAGCAGCGCACGGGAACCCGCCCCGCTCCATGGGGCGCGGCTCGGCCTCCGCGGCCCTGGGCGCGGCCTGCTGAGCCCGGCCCGGGCCGCTCCGCTCGGCCCGGCCCTCCGCGGCCTCCCGAGGCGGTGTCACCGGGCACGGCTCCTCCTCGGCAGCGGGGCCGGGCCCTCCCTGCCAGCCCGCCGGGCTCTCCTCGGCCCCCCCGCCGGACTCCGTTCGGCGCCAGCGGACGGAGTGGTTGGCATTCATTTTCGGGGCTGCCCTCAGGGGAGCCAGGTTGAGCCCTCGGACTCGAAAGTGAAACAGGGCAAGGCAACGAACTGTTTCTTTTTTTTAAAAAAAAGCGCTGATAGCATTTCCCGTGGACGAACAGGCACTCCCTCTTCCTGGCTGAGCAGCCCCTTCCTGATACTGGCTGGATCCCCCTTTTTGTCTGCTCAGGGCACAGGTTTTGGGAGGGTTTTCCTCACTTTTGGGTTGTTTCCCCTCCTTGCTCTGCAGCCTGAGCAGAGCCTCCAGCCTTTGCCAGGAATCTTTGCCCCTGTGCCTACCCCATTATAGAACCACAGAATTGCTGCTGAAACTGCGAGGAAAACAGGAACTCTGACAACATCTTTTCAGTGTTAGAAAATCACAGCGTTACTTTATTCTGCCAGGATGTGCAGTAGAAATTATCATCCACACATGTCTGGGTTGCGCAGTGAAAATCATTCCACCATACATAGTTCTTTACTAGACTTTTCATCTGTGTATACATAAAAATAACTCCAAAGACATTCATGTTCATTGGTCCTAAATTACACAGTTCTTGGTATTCAATCTCCTGTTGGTTATTGAGCTCTTCGCCTTTGATGCTGGTTAAGTCCTCATTCTTTGGTTCTCTTATCAATCTCTTTTGACCCCACCCTGTGTAATATTTGTTAATGTTCATTTACCTCCTGTGTATTTTCTGGCAACTCCCTATCTATGGACGTTAAACTCATCAGACCTCACCCAACCTCTTTGAACAGAATATTTTAAAGAGAAACTTCAATTCCCCTCCCCCTGCGCAAAGGCAAACAAACCTAAAGTTACATTAAAATTTTTAAAGTTGCATCATTTCCGACAGAATCATCAGGGTTGGAAGAGACCTTCAAGATCACCAAGTCAAACTATCCACCCAGCACAACACTTTAACCCCTTAGCCACAAAACCATCATCCAGACACTCCCTGAACACTGCTAGGGGTGGTAACTCCACCACCTCCCTGAGAAATCTATTCCAATGCCTGACCATCCTAACAGTGAAAAACCCTTTCTAATACATAGTTTGAATCTCTCCTGTTGCAGATTAAGGCCATTTTCTGTAGGCATGGTAGAAGAGACTGTAGAAGATGTAGTTGTAGAGATCAGTGAGGTCACCCCTGAGCCTCTTCTCTAGAGAACCTCCTTCAGAATTTGGGGGCAGTGCTCTCCCCACAACCCCAGCATGGCCCAGATGAGCTCCCTGATGACCCCAACCCCTCCCAAACCAGGGCTGATCTTTGCTGTGTCTAGCAGTGCTGCTTTAATAGTGTCCTGAGGCACCTTGTGATCCCACTGCCTTGCTTTATCCATTGCTTTTATTTTTGGTAGTGGTTAGGCAGCTGAAGGAATCTGGTCAGTGGGTGAGGAAGGGATAGGAGCACAACACAGGAGCAAGAAACAGGACTGAGCACGGCTGGAATTGTACTTTGTAGAACCTGAACATTTTTACCAGCTGACAATCACCTCCACACCAGGTCTCCAGCGTCCTTGTTCACCCCAGAAGGTACCAGCACCTCTCACATGGAGGGAAAACAAAAATTTCCCCCTTGGTGCCTATAGCAGCGGTAGTTTTTGAGCTGCAGCCCTGGGGGATTTCAGGGCAATCTCAAATGTAGTGCTGGGTCAGAGCAGAGTCCCTGGGGAATTTGGGGGCAAGTCAGAGTGGAGGGGGCTTGGAGGGCACCCTGGGGGAATTCAGGTGGCTGAGAGCACAGGTCTGCATGGGAATATCAGCCTGGTGGCCTCGATGCTTCACCATGCCATGTTCATTCCTAGATCTACCCATCCTCTGCACCCTGCTGCAAATGCAGAGTTTGAGGAGCATCTAGCAGAAGAAATAGTAACAGAAAAGGAAGTAGGAAAAAAAGCTGCCGATGTTCCAACACTGCCAGCAGTACCTGATGACCTTTTCTGCTTCTCTGGTTCATTTTGTTTTCTCTAGAACAGCTCTGAATTTACCCAGGGCGGTGCAGTGCTCAAAAGCAAAGCGGGGTTTTTCGCTCCTAAGGTTTGGGCCTGTGAGAGGGAAAACCCCTCGTGTTTTTGTCTTGTGGAATGGCTGCCTGTGAGGAATGGCTTCTGCTCCAGCCTCAAGGACAGAGGAGTGGAGAGGAAGGTCACAGAGCTCCTCAAACAGGGAAGGAAGATGAGACAACCTCTCTACATTGGCAAAAAATTGCCTGTGGCGCTGAGACGTTTGGTTCTCATAATTGCTTCCAGCTTCCTGAATTCTCAGCTTCCTAAAAAATGAAAACCTGATGTGCAGCACAGTTAAGTGACATCCAAGAGATGTCAGAGAAAAGTGTTGAGGGTTCCTCACAGATAGATGGAGGATAATGATCCAGCAGCAGGAACCATCAGCAGGACCCTGCAAACCTAAGGTAGGCAGAGCAGCAGTCTTCAGGCTCAAAGGGATGCAGTGATCCCAAAGGGATCTCTGTGTGTGAGTCCCATGGGATGTCCACAAGTGGTGAGGAGAGCATTCTCCATCAGGGAGCACCTCCATCTCCAAAATGTTGCAGGGAAGTGTTGCCCTGGTTCAGACTGTGCTGTGGGGAGCTGGGCACGATTCTCCCCCTTTGCAAAGATGGCCCTTTGATGCTGAGCACTGCAAAGCATTCAACTCACCATGTTGCACCATTCTGGGGAGGAATTTTATCTTTTATTAATGAAAATTTAGGCTTCTGTGCACCAGTGGCCAGGATATGCCTTCTGGAAAACACCATGTTGGAGCAGCTTGCTGAGCTGCCCCTGCCGTGTGTTGGACACTGTGGTTAGCACTCATTTAGACTTAGAATTTTCCATCGCATTCATCTGGAAAAAAAGGGTAATTCTTTCTGACTAAAAAAATGTGCCTTTCTAGATGAGCTAAGGGTTGAGGGCTCCTGTTTGAGGGGGCTGTGGAGGTTAGCACTGCAGCACAGGAGCTACAAACTGGTTGAGACCCTGTAGGACATTTCCTCAGAACTGCAAGAGCCCTTCAGGCCAGGAGTTAGAAAAAAGTTGAACATTAAAAATGCATGGTGCACTTAAACACATCAGTGTTCCTGTTCTAGATCCTACAGCTGTCCCCAAAATGGGACTGCAAAGGCACATCTGGAATTCTCATTTTTCACCTCCCCTATTCATCTTCTCTTTGCTTCCCCACACTTTCCACAGAATCTTTTTGGACCAGTGCTAAACTCTTACCAGTCTCTCGTTCTTTTAATAGCACCTTTTTCTCTGTAACAACAGCAGGCTTTTTTTTTTTTTTTTTCCTTTTTGTTTTTGAGTGGGGAATATTTCTGGGCTTACCCCAGTTCTCAGTGCCCTGTCAGTGGCCAGTAAATAACAGTGCTCTGCAGCAGGGGCATTCCAAGCCGGGGCAGCAAGTGCCACGTGAGGTCTGGATCTCTGCAGTGAGCCTGGTGGGGCAGCAGTGCCTGACCCTGCCTGCCTGTGCAAGGGAAGCACTCACCCTTGCAGGATGCCCTTGCAGGACCAGAGGTGCCTCTGGGCAGCTGGGTTACAGGGAATACTGAACTTTGGTTTCCTGCTGACAAAACAGAGTTATTGCAGAAATTATTAGCCTGGTTCTTTGCAGGTTTGTGTTCTACAAACTGTCAAGGGTGGTCCCAACTCACTCTCCAGGGCGAAAGGGAAATGGTGGGAAATCTGTGTGTTCTCCTTTTTGTGGCACCTAGTGCTCTTCTCATGATGCTTAATAACTATAATTCTGCAGGGCAGAAGATAAGCAGGGTAATTGCCTTGCAACAGAGAGAAGCACTTCAATGCCAGCTTGGGGCAGCCAGGAAGGTCAGGGACTCAGGGAACATCTCCTGGAGTGTGATCACCTTTCCCTTGTCCACATCTATAAAATGGAACTGCAAACTCATCTTTACTGCCCTTCATCAGGTTCATAACTCACATGTTGGTAAAGGGGAGAGTGTGGACAGGGGCCTCCCTAGTGCACTCCAGATCCTGCTTTTGAGCCTGGGAACACCAGTGAAGCTCTCGTGGAGCTGGTATCTGGTTCCAGTGGTGGATCTGAAGCTCCAGGGCTGACAGGCTGGTTGATCCTTGCTGTGAATCAAGTGACATTTTCGTTTTGGGTTGTGTGATGGCACTGTGTTCCCTACTTGCATGGTGGCAGTGTCTGAGGGTCTGTGTTGTTGTCCCTTCAGGTGCTTTCTTTGCAGGAGCTGCTGGCCTTGAGTCCCTGTCCTTTCAGAGAGTACAGGGTGGAGGGGGAGCCCATCAGAAGTGGGTCATGCCTGCAAACAGAGGCACCCATCAATCCTGCCTTTCAACCACTCTCAACTCACCCTACAGCACCAGCAGGCTAAACTTGGAGGTCCTTGGCATTGCCAATGAACATAAACCCTAATGGAATGTGGTGCTTAGCAATGGGAGGGGTGAAGATTTCATCATGCTATGGGTTTTGAAACAGTGATGCTCCTCCTGCATTGTGCAAGTAGTGATGATGGAAGTGTTAGATGTGCATTCTGCTTTGAGAGCAGGTTTCTCCTTTCTATGGGAAAAGAGACAGTCTGGGGAACACGATTGCAGCCCACAGTGTAGAAAAGCTGTGCCAGGTGTGAGGAAAATGAAGAACAGCTGCAGTCTTCTGGGACAGAAAACCCTCCAATCCCAGACAAAGCTGTGGTGAGGCTCCTGGGTTTGCAAGGACAGAAGTAGTGTACAAATAAGGATGAGAAAGGAGCAAGGTTGATAAGTAAGGGCTTCTCTTTCTTCTGCCAGCAAGTTGCAAGTGTGTTCAAGGTGTCTGAGGAAATCATGGGTTGTGTACAGGCACAGGAGCTAAGCTTGAGGGAGGGAGAGTTGGAGGCAGTAGTTGAAATTTAGGAAAGCAGGAGGATGGGAATGATACTCAGAAATTCCTATTAGCTTGTTGGGGAGAGCTTATAGTACCAAGAGCAGGCTGAAGGATGACTTTCCTCAGCTTGAATGACTTAAACTGAGAGTAGGCGAAATTGTAGGTATGATAAGTTAGGGAAA